ACAAACAGCTGCTGAATCATGATTCTTCTGACAGTTTGTCACTAAAATAACTAAAAAAACTTTAAAAACAAAATTATTTATTATGAAAAATCATGAAAGATGATAAAACTAAAGAAATTCTATTTTCTCTCTAATGCTAACATCAGCTTATCCATGCTAATCGCTGGCCTCTCTGATGCTAATGCCAGCTTATCCTGGTTGTGCAATAGTCTTAATTTTGGCCCTCATCCTATGCCATAGAGTTCTGCTGAAGAAGCTAACAGTGAGCTAAAAGCTACATATAGCTACATGTCTGTGGAAGTATTTTGATGATAAATCATTACAGAAACATAAAAACAGGAAAACAACAGTGTGAACGCTGACTCAGCATTCACAGTTTATTTTCTTTGAATGTGTTTGAACTTTGACCTTTCATCGGAGGAGGAGGGTTGTTAAACTCACCACTTGTTTCAGCTCTTCAGGGTGAACTCTCGGACTCCAGGGGTGGATGAACTTCTTTCTCTCTGGTTTCTTCAGGGGCAGCAGGAAGCGTTTCCCCTGAAACCAACCAAAGAGAGGACACGTCAGACTGTCAATCATCTGTCTGCCGTAACGATGAAGAACGAGGAGGAGGAGGAGGAGGATACCGCTCGTCTCCTGCGGGCGTCGATCTTTCTGAAGTAGGAAGTGACGTAGACGTTGTCAAAGCAGATGTCTCTCTGATACGAGCGCAGGTAACTGAACCCCCTGAGGAGGAGGAGGAGGTGATGAAGGATCAATTCATAACAAAGGTTAGGGCTCAACAGTGATGAAGAGGAGTCGTACTGAATGAAGACAGTGATGAAGGTGAAGGACAGAATCATCTGCAGGACGTGCAGCACCGTGTCCATGGTGTTGGACAGGATGAGGAAGGACTGCCTGACGGCCTGAGTGAAGTTCTGATCCAACCCCGCTCCCTCCAACACCTCCTGCTGCTGCTCCTGCACAGGAAGAGGAGGAAGAGGATGAGGACCCTGCAGGTCCCTGAAGGTTCTGATGAAGGCTTTTATCCGGACCTGCAGGACCAGCTCCGTGCTGAACTCCCTGGACAGCTGGTCCACGGAGACGTTGAGCCGATCGAACAGCTGACCGAAGTTCCCCTCCACAGGAATCTGCTCCCGACACCACGGTGTCATGACTGACAGCAGAGAGGAGGAGGAGGAGGAGTTACTGCTCACCCAGGGGTCA